AACCCTGGCCAACATGTGCTCACACATTTGTTGGGATTCTTCATGTTTGGCACTTGTGCAAGCCATAAAAGAAAAAAGGCCCAAGCTGTTCCTTTCCTGTTGTGGTGCCCCAGGCTTCTGCAGTGACCATAGTGATGGTCACAGGTGCAGGGAAACAAGGGCCTGCTGGGAGAGCACCTGTTTGTGGTCTGAAAGAGTCTTTGGGAAGTCGGCTGTCTATTTGTCTTTCTCTAGACAAGAATTTTCTAAATTGTTTCAGTGCAGTAGATCAGGGTCAGCACATGTTTTCTGCAAAGGGCCAGAGTCATTTTCATCCCTGGGCTGGATGATCTCAGTCACAACTACTGAACTGGGCCATTATAGTGGCAAAGCTGCCCCAGTGATCTGGAGGAATGGGCCAGGCTGTATGCCAGTAAAGCTTTATACACGCTGAAATGTATTTGTGTAATTGCCTGTGTCACAAAGTATCTTTTTATTTTTTCCCCTCAGACATTTAAACATGTAAAAACTATTCTGGACTTGCAGGCTGGACAAAAACAGGCAGTGGGCTGGAGTTTTAGCTCATGGGCCTGAGTTTGCAGACCTGGCTAGAGATCACTGCCTTAAGACACACACACTCCGGAAACAGACGAGAAAAACAAAGTGCTTTGAACAAGACATCTGGGATGGCCCAGGAGCCTGGAACAGGGCCTGCAAGTAGGGCACTCACCCTGAACACAGAATCTAATGGGGGCGCCAAAATCTCAGTCATGATGAATGATATAATTTTAATTGCTCAAACTTATTTTTAGGCCGGTTTTAGATTTACAGGAAAATGGCAAAGGTAGTACAGAGTTCCCGTGTACCCCAATTCAGTTCCCTTGTTAACATCTTACATTAGTCCCTGGTCAAGTAGCTCAGTTGGTTAGAGTGCTGTCCCGATACACCAAGATTTCCGGTTTTATCCCCAGTCAGGGCACATACAAGAGTCAACCAATGAATGTATAAATAAGTGAAACAAGAAATCGATGTTTCTTTCATTCTCTCTCCCTCCCTCCCTCTTCCTCCCACTCTCTAAAGTAAAAAAATAAATAAAATAAAAATCCTACATTAGTGTTTCTCAGAACGAACTTAGCAATATCAATACAGCAATGTTAACTAACACCCACACTTTTTTCAGATTTCCTTAATTTTCCCCTGAGGTCCCCATCCAGAATCACACATAACAGGTGTCACGTCTTGGACCCCTCTGGGCTGTGACATTTCTGATGCATTCCTCAATTTTCATGCCCTGGGCAGTCTTGAGGAGGAGGGGTTAGGAGTTTGGTAGATGCCCCTCTGTTGGGGTCATTTGCTGTTTTTCTCATAGTCTGACTGGGGCAATAGGATGAGTAATATTTTAATGAAATATTTTTTTAAATTGGAATTAATGCAAAAAAAAACTCCATGGTGAACAAAATAGCAAAAACTTAAATCCAGTATCAGAATTGCTGGTTTTCCCTTTTGTCTGAGCGCTAACTTGGTTTCCTGTTGTGTTGCTGCAGCCTGAGACCCTCCTGTTTAAGGAGGGGAAGGGGAGGAGAGAAAGGGCCCCAGTCTTTTTTTTTAATTATTGATTTGAGAGAGAAACACTGATTTGTTATTCCATATATTTATGCATTCATTGGTTGATTCTTGTATGTGCCCTGAATGGGGATCAAACCCACAACCTTGGCATATCAGGATGACACTCCAACCAACTGGACTACCTGGCCAGGGCTAGGTACCCAGTCCTGGGGGGGAGAGGGCAGGAGACCTTGTCTGTGGCTCCTCCCTCGGGGTACAAGACCCTCCCTGGGGGGGTTCAGGAGAGTTCTGGAAGTTGAAATAGCAGAAGACAGGGCAGAGACAGGCATGTGAACCCAGCTATCTTTGATGAGTGGGGCCAGCAGCTTTTGGTGAATTCACAGTTTATTACAGAAGGCAGTTCCTAGAGGGCAGAAATGGAGGGGGTGACCCAAGGTGACTACTGTTGGTGGGAGAAAGGGCCCTTGCTGTGTGTGTGGAGGGGAGCAGGGGGAGTGGGGATCAGCCAGGGTGCAGGAGGGAGAAGCTTGCTTTGTCTCTACTCCCCTCACTGTGTACCCTGACCCCCTCTCAGAATTGCCCCCAGCACACCTGCTCTATCCCATATTTTCACAGGTCAGGAGAGGGCAGTTTATTGTTTTGTGCCTCGGTGGTCCCATCTGTGAAATGGGGCCAGGAGCCCATATCCTGCCCTGAGGGATGACAGGTTTGGGAGCTGCTAGAGTGAGACGGGACATCCAGGCCTGAGAAGGTAGGAGATAGGAGTCTCAAACTGGTTGTTAGGTCCCACCTTGTCCAGATTTGCCCAGGACATTCTGGAAAATCCCACATCAGGAAACCCCTCAGTTCCGTGCAAACTGGAACCGTTGGTTAACCTACTGAGTTACAAGTCCTTGGCAGTTCCCCTAAACCCCTCTGTTTTTTGTGAAAGGTAGGGGAGTGGCCCTCTCAGGATCTAAGCTGACCCTGCACCCCAGCACAGATACTCGCTGGTGTCCTGTAGCTTTGTGGCACATGGTACAGCTGTCCAAGCCAGCTGCCCTGAGGAGGTCTGCTGTCGTCCTGTCTGCCTTCTCTGTCAGCACCACATGAAGTCTTAACAGCTTTGTTGAGATATAACTCCCATTGATACAGTTCACCTAATTAAACCCTGTAGTTCTGTGGTTTTTAATATATTTAGAGTATGCAGTCCTTACCACTCTCTAATTCCAGAACATTCTGTCACCCCCAAAAGAAACCCTGTTCCCATCAGCAATCACTCCCCAGCCCCTGACAGCTGCTAACCCACTCTCTGTCTCTGTGGATTAGCTTGTTCTGGACATTTCACATAAATGGAATCACACAATCTGGCCTTTTGTGTCTGGTCTCTCTCACTGAGCATCATAGTTTCACAGTTCATCCATGTTGTAGCAAGTGTCAATGCTTCCCTCCTTTTCATGGCTGCACCATTTTTCATTCCCACCAACCGTGAGTGGAGGTTCTCTTTTCTCAGTGTCCTCACCAGCACTTGTTACCATCGTCTTTTTGACTCTAGCTGTCCCAGTGGGGGTGAGGTGATACCTTACTGTCCTGGTTTGTTTCCAGGTATTTGTAAACACACGTGCACCTCCACATGGGAGGCTGGTGGGAAATATGAGTTGTGCTTCCAACTGCTAGTCGTGACCTGGCAAGGGACGAGTGATGGAGACAGGACAGACAGCCTGGGGTCTCCCAGGTTGTGGGGCTGAGCTGGTTGAGAAGCCTGCTGGGTTGGTTGGAGCTGTGTCCCATGGCAGGCCACCCTGGGATGCCTGCTGTTTTGGGGAGCTTTCCTTCACCTAGGCCTTGCTGTCTCCCCAGGTAAGTGGCATCAAGACGCTGTATGAGTCAGAGCTGGCTGACGCCCGCAGAGTGCTGGACGAGACGGCCCGAGAGCGCGCCCGGCTGCAGATCGAAATAGGGAAACTGAAGGCTGAGGTGGAAGAGGCCAACAAAAGGTAGGGGTGCAGCTGGTGTGATGTTGCCCTGAGTCTAGGGCTGTTATATGTACACGGCAGGGTGGGTGATGGGGTCAGAGGCTTGTCAACCCTCTGGGGGCTCGTGTCCAAGCTGGTGGCCCCCACTTGGCAGAACTGGGAGCTGGTCCTGTGGGTTCTTGGAGGTCGGTGGTCAGGAGTGCACTGGACGCTGGGTGGGTAGTGGCTTCTGGGGCCTGGCCTTCTAGCTGCCCCTTGACCACTTTTACTCTCCCCCGCCCCGATAATTTGGCCCAAGGAGGGTTTTCAACCCAAGCATCTCTTCTGCGACCCAACTCCTCCTTCAGGCCATAGAGCCCAGCTTCTCCAAGGAACCCTGGATTTGGGAGCCACTAGTATTCCAACTTCCCTGTCCCTGGGGCCCCTGGAGGCCCCAACCCGCTGTCTTATGTCTGATGAGGTGGCCTTTGTCCTCTTTGCCTCCTCTCAGGGTCCCCACCCTGAGAAACTTTGGGGCCAGATTCCCCCCTCACCCTAACCGGGCCCATTGTGGCCAGTCGACCTTTGGGCTGAGCCTTTTCTCTTATTCACAAAGCATGTTCTTTTGCCTGTTTATGACTAAAAAGGCTCTGAAAATTTGGAGAACAAGCTGGTGCTGGGGATTATAGTAGCAGAATTAATAAAGTAATTTATTAATTTAGAGAAAGAGGAAGAGAGAGAGAGAAATATTGATCAGTTGCTTCCCATATTTGCCCAGACTGGGGATTGAACCTGCAACCTTTTTTTTTTTTTTTTTAATTTTTTTTTTTTTTTT